CGCTTGGACTTGAGTGGCTTCAGCATTAGCCCGGTAGACGACCACGATTGCCTCTGCCTTGGACTTTGCCTTTTCGGCTTCAGACTTGGCCTTTGCAAGTTCAGAAGCCAACCGGGCATCGAGTTCCTCTATTTTCTTCTCCTGAATCAAGCTTTTTTCCTTCATGCCTTGAAGCTGACTTTCGGCCGATGACAATTGGGATAAAGAAATCTCTTTTTTTGCAGCAAAGCGGTCCATACCTTCTTTCCACCCCAAGGTCTCCGCCTTTATAATGTCGACCTCCTCACTGAGCTGCCCGATCATCTCGATCTTCTGCTATAACTGTGAGATTGAAATGTTACCCACCGTTCCCGAATCGAGCCCATGAGTTTTTAATATTTTCATTACCTGTTCGGTCAAGTCAGTCTAATCTTGGTGAGCCTTGGCCAACTCAGCTCGGAGGTCCTTAGTCTCTTCTTCTCTTTGCCCACAGAGAAGTCTGAGGGCATTCCTCTCCTCTGTGAGCCCTCTAAGGTCGGCCTTATACCGACTCAGCTCAGCTCGAGACCGAGAAAATGCTTCCCGTTGAAGCGCTGAGGCCTACGCAGAAAGAAGAAAAGAGGTTAGACATAAAGGAAAAAGCAAACACAAGGGTAATATCAACAAGGGGAATAAAGGCTTACCCGATTAAGAGCTTGTTGAGCTTCGTTGAAAAAGGCTCGATGCCTCACCTGAGTCCTTTCTCGAGACCTCTAAGTCACCCAAGCCGGTAGAGTCTTCGACCTCAGTAAAATAATCACGGAAGGGATTTTCCTTTCCGTGGCCTCCTTCAATGGAGAGGGTATTCAAGGCCCGAGCCTCTTGAATAATCTCCTCAGAAAACGAGGGGAGCAGCAGGGTGCCTCCAATTTCTATTGCCCCAAGTGGATCACATGGGGAGTTCTCCCCATCTCGGGGAGCCTCGAGATCATCCCCTATAGTCGTACCCAACGTTGGCTCATTATAATGGGAGGCATCCTCGATCCTCGATGGCTCGGGGACTTCGCCATATTCTCTTTCCGAGACTTCCTCATCTCGAGATGGAATCTCCATAACCTTTACCAATTCAGTAGCCTTTGGAGCCTCGGTGCTCATTTTCACTCGGGCCACCAGCTTGGAGTCGTCTTTTTCCTCTTCTTCGTCCTCATCCCTTAGACGCCGAACGGATTCTTCGGTCAGAAAGATGATGTTCTTCCTCAGCTTACGATCCACCCTCTTCTTAGGTTCTGGATCCTCATAGGTCGAGATCTTTTTTCTCTTTTTGTCCTTCGCCGGTTTTGGTGCCGGGATCGAAGCCTCCTCCTCACCAGATAAGGGCCTCACAATAGCATCTTTGCCAAGGCCTGTATGAAAAGAAAATAAGTAAGAAACGCTTTAACTAAATCAACAAAGACGTGGGAAAGGGGCTTACCATGTGTTTTGGCCTCCCATCGGCCCTTTGATAAATCGCGCCACGAGCGCTCGGCATACGTAAAAGTCGAGGCCAGGTCCCAAACCCAGCCCTTGAGGTTAGTAATTATGCCAGGCATCCATGCAACCGCTACATCACGAAAAAGGATATCGATGAGAAATAAACAACGGAACAAAACAATAAATAAGAGGTAATAGTGGGATTGTACTTACGCTTCATATTCTATTTCTCAGAAAATGGCATCTTCTCGGCCTGGATTAGGTCGGAAGTCCTCACTCGAATGAACCGGCTCATTCAACCTCAGTCTTTATCCTCGTCTATTCTCGAGAACAATACTTTGGTAGCTCAGAATTGGAGTTTTATTAAACCACCTCGATAAAGGCAGGGGTTGTATAACTTGATGAGGTGGTCGAGGGTAAAAGGCATCCCCTCGACTTTGCTCACGAAATATCGGAGCAGAATAACAATTCGCCAAAAGGAAGGGTAGATTTGACCTAGGGTTATTTGATACTGGCGGCAAAAGTCAACGACAATGGGGTCGAGGGGGCCCAACGTGAAAGGGTAAGTGTAAACACTTAAAAAACCTTCCACATGGGTGGTGATATCTTCTTCGGGATCCGGGATCACCACTTCTTTGTTCTCCCAGTTGCAATCTTTCCTTACCTGCTTAAGGTATCCCTCAGTTATCCAAAATATATACCTCGATACTGGCTCGCATCGACCAGGAACCGACGAGGCTTTATCGGCCTTAAAATCAAAAGTGAGAACACACCCCCAGCAACACACTTCTTAGGTCGTGGCTCCACCAGTGTTTTGTCGCCGGCAGACCATGATAAATAAGCGTCTTCTTTTTTAGGAATAGTTTTTGACGTTTTCGCCATTTGGATTTGAAGTTGAAAATAGAGGGAGATGACAAGATTTGGTGTTCTAAGAAGAGATTTGCAGTGAAAATCATAGATTTGCAGATGAATAACTCAGAATATGCAAAAATGAACTTAGAAGATTTGGAGATTGGAGATCCGAAAGTAAAAAATGGTGAAGAGGGGAACTATTTATAGATTTGGCGATGACGACTCAAAATCAGCAGTGGCTGACCATCGTCTGGCGCACATTTAATGATTTGGTAACTGAACCGACGAGACATTTATCATGTATATCATGATCGGGTTCGATGCAAACGTCAGTGTATATCTAGTCATATTGTTGGAAAATCTTGTCGTTTCTCGCTACATTCTTCCCGAAAAATGAGGGGACTATCCGTATACGGTCAAAATCGGTTTTGCCCTTCGTGTAATTAGTTAAGATTGGAACACGATGGACTAAGGGTCGTCTTCATAATATCGAGATGAGATCCGAAGCCAAGTTATCAAGCTCAAGATTCAGGGACCGATCAATACCAAGATCGAAGTCAATATCGAGCGCGAGTCAATACTGAGCCCGAGTCAATATCGAACTCGAGTCAATACTGAGCTCGAGTCGATATCGAGTTCGAGTCAATACCGAGCCGGAGTCGATATCGAGCTCGAGTCGATATCGAGCTCGAGATCCGGAGATCGATCAGTACCAAGACCAACCAAGATTGAGCTATGAGACAAAGAGCCGTTGTAGCCGCACTTAGGGAGAGAATCTCGGCGAGAATTAAGGAAAAACTGATTAACTAATCTATCATGGATCCCCACTATGTATTTTTTATTATATCCAAAGTATGATGTTTTCCCACTATATTAAGAGTGTGTATCATTTCTGTAAAGGGGGGACTAAAGATTGAGACATCAATACACTATCACATTTCAAAGATTATTGAGATTTACACACATATAGAAAAGATTATCGTTTTTTGGGCTTTGTACATTGATTCATCTTGCTTATTCGTAAATCATTCTTTACTCAATTTCGGTTTGTTTTAATTCCCTTTTATAGTTAATATTCGACATATCTCTACTTACTTTTCCAATTTGTACCAAGTTATACCACGTATTCTTAGAACTACGTATAAATTCAACTTTATCCATTTTTCGGATAAATAAAAATAAAGTGAAATGAATATTGAGAAAAAAAAAGGTATTATAGTTATCCAAATTAATTTAGAATTGAGGCACAATAATTATTGTTATTGGAGTTTTACATTTGGACCAAACCTAGGGAGCCCAAACAATGAAGAGTCTTCCTTTGGAGAAAGCAAGGTGTAAAAGGCAAATATGTATTGTGATGAAACTACCTGGAGTTCATTAAAAGTAGTTGTTTACATAAATTTGGCTGAGGAAGCAAACTCACTTGTTTAATTGATTTTTTAGTCCTTTTTTTGTGGTCCTCGATACATGATTTATTCAGATATCAAAAAGAGTTTAAATTATTTTTTTTTAAAATTGCTCTTGAAGTAAAGAGTATTGGAGTATCTGTTATATTTTTAATGAACAAATTAAAGAGATAATAAAAGGTTAATATGGTCAATTTTTATTGTTAATTAATGTTAAACGATGAATTTCTTAATATGTGTGAGAACAACCAAAAAATCAGTTAAAGTGAATCGGAGGGAGTAACGTTTAATTTAGTATAGGATTTTGCCTTTAAAGTTGTTATCTAATGGTCAATAAAGAGGGTGCAAAGATCGAGAAGAAAAAAATAATACTAAATGACCTTATTCATTTGCCTAATAATCGAAGTTGGCACAAATTGATTAGCCAAATTATTAAACAGAAAGTAAATTAAGATTAAAAAAGCAATTCAAAATCGCATACTGTCAAACTGAGAGTAACTTTAGCTAATAGAAACTCAAAGACCTTATAAATCAAAAGTAAAATAAAAATATAAAATATAAGAAAAGGTCTCTTTATCACACTACTCTCCTTTTAATAATTCAACTCAATGGCAGAAGTGGTTAGGCGGCTTAATATGACAAGAGGTCAAAATCTATAATGTCACAGCCCTCTTCGGTCTTCAAAGATGTCACATTTCTTCTAGAAAAAACGACGTTTTGGATTAGGTTTCTACTTATGGTGTGTTTGAAAAGTCACATGAAAATTGAATATGAGTGCAATTACATGTAACTACAAGATGTGATTTATTAGTTGGTCAACACTAAATTGATTTATATTAGAGAAGTACAATTACAATTTTCAATTCTCATAGCGGTCAAGAATATTGCCAGTAACTACTATTGTAATTATATTTAAAATGTGACTTTTATATTTCTTCTTTATAATTTTTCAAATATAAATTCTTCCTTAAATATATTCCTATTTGTTGTTCCTATTTATTTGTGAAAGACTTGCCGGGGTGGATGTGTGATTAAAGCTACAACTTAGATTGAATCCAATATTTTTGACTTAAATCTTATATATAGTATATGTTAAGAATCTATTAAATATGTACTAATATTTTATTAAAATATTGTTAGTGTTGCTGCACATAATAACTTTGGCTGGACTTGGATAGTTGCACCTTCATGCAGCGAATAAGTGTGAGATTTAGAGAATTTAGTTTAGAGAGCACCAAATTTTCCTTAGAAGACAAATTATTTATTATTGAGGATGAATAAAAATGAGGTATATAGTTAGTTAAATAAAGAAACTTAAAGGAGTAAAGCTCCTACCTGGAATCAATTACTGTCTTTCAGTATGGTTCACTTTGCCTCAAACATTTTACATTGGCATAAAATGTCAGAGATTCTAAGTTCTAAAATTTCAAAGTTAGATTGTTACTACAATTACAAAGCAAGCCTCATCATTCAACCCCAATTCTATTTTTGTCGGATGAAAGCCAATAAATCATTGATTCTTGCAAGAACTTTTGAATCTGAAGTCTCAACCAATGCTAATTCCACCCCATTTTGTCATCAGCCTAAGCTAAGACTTTGCATTTTAGACTCGTGGCATATGTTCTGGCCGCCTCCTAAAACTGGAAAACACGTCCCCAGCTTCACTATCTGCGCGCTGCATGTCCATATCCATGTCCATCCCGAGTCCTATCCGCTCACTCATTGATCCATAAGAATTTACCGAACCATCTCCAATTGGCTTAACATACTGCTGCATGACCAGCACAGAGAATGTGGAATCGAATTCGGATGTGACTAAAAGATCACCAATAGCCCCGAGCTCGGGGCAGTCACACCAATCGACTAGACCAGCCGTTAGTGGTGACACTATGCCTCGACCTTTTCCTACGATGTAGAGATCATAGCTATGCTGGTCCATTAGTTTTATTGCCTTGACAGCTTCTTCTACATCATTCAGCAACAATTCTATGTATTTTACTGATTTGTCATTGGCTGTGCTGATCTTGAACCTGTTCAAGAACTCTTCATCTAACAAATTTTCGCTCTCTTTGTCAATGTGGACGTTTACATGACTTTCTTCAGCAAATTCCATTGGTTCTATATCTGTAGCATCTTCCCCTGGTATAAACTTAACCACAGTTAGGCGTGTATCTGGACGATCAACCATTCTCAGCGCGTAACCCAGAGCTTCCCTATCATCAGGACCTCCGAAGTAAAGGACAACGATATTTTTTGCGTAGTCACTTGTCTCAGAAAGGCCACGATCGATGAGGATTCCCACAGAACAAGGGGCATTAGCGAGCACACCCTCGTTGACAGCCCGAATTTCAGGGTTGACATCCTCCATTTCACCAGCGAGACTTCGCTGTTTGTGGAAAGGGAGTATGATGAAAGCTGCACGCTTGTCTTTGGCAATGTTGCATATATCTTCATCCATAGTGGACAAAGCACACCTTGCTGTAAGTACTTGAACCATCACACCATCCGATCGTAGCTCATAGTTGTCGAAAGCAGCGATTATCTGTCTCGTTTGTGCCTCCTCGTGGCCAAGACTTCTCGAGCCTCGTTTGCCTGAGGTGTGAACTTCTAGCATTGATGATGCACGCCCGACTAGTTCTACTACTTGGAGAGCAAAGACAGTTATTGGGGCTGCTGGTGTAGAATTCGACGAGCCAAGAAGGTTGATGACCGAAGGGATGTCGTGCGCGGCATGGATGCATGCGAGCACCCGAAGCTCCTCCTCCACTTTTGCTTTCTGTATAGTCCTTCGTTTATGGGGCGCCAATTCTTGCGAGGGATGATAGAGCATAGTGATAGGTGTGACAATCACCGTCATCACCAAAATGCCAGTTACCATAAGAGAGTATAATTGAGTGTTCAAAATCTGATCAAGATTTTAAAACATGATGGTTAGCCTAAAAATCCATTTCCAGTAAAGCAAAATGAGGAGTGGGAGGGGGAAAACTTACCTGTTGTGCCTGACCAGCTTCAATAATGATCAAGGCCATGAGACTTTTGGTATTGCTAAGTATTCCAACAGCCAAAGCCTCCTTAATAGACATGTCAGAGAAGAAAGTAGCAGCAAATGTGCTCAAGATTTTGGCTGAAACAAATAGAATAATGTAGCCAACAATTTCATAAATACTACCCATGGCTTTGAAATTGGTTCTGAGTCCACAAACAACAAAGAAAGTTGGCATAAGAAAGCCCATCACAAAATCATCAAGCTTATCCAAGATTGCTGCTTGAAGCATTTGGTTAGGTACACTCAGTCCAAACAGAAAAGCACCAATTATAGGGTGTGTGCCCAAAGCATCCGTTATAACTCCCGAAATCGCCATCCCAGCAAGAATTGAGCATACAAAGAACTCACTATATCCTTGTACTTCTGGCATTTTTCGGATGATCCAGCCAATGGCACGACGGAGATAAAAGACACAGAACAAGGCGTAGGCAATCGTGCAAATTACAGCCCAATGGATGTTAGTTGTACTCCCTGTGACTACATAACCTAGTGCCAAAATAAACCATGCACCAATATCATTGATTACAGCTGAAGACATGGCCATTTTCCCAATGTCAGTTTGGAGGATCTTCTGTTTGTCAAGTATCTTAGCCAAGACAGAGAACCCTGTAACAGTGAGAGCACCACCATAGAAAATAAAACCTCTAGCATCTTCGTCGCGATAGAGTGAGAAAAACAATATTGTTCCCATGACAAAAGGGATAATGATCCCTATAACAGCTACATTCCTAGCCTTTATTCCGATTCGAAGAACTGATTTTATATCCATCTGTAATCCCACCAGAAACCCATAGAACACAAGGGCTACATGAGCCATTGTCTCAATCACATGGAAGTTGTAGTTTGGGAAAAGCTGCCTCCTATACTTTACTATCTGTCCAAGTGCTGAAGGACCCAAAAGTATGCCACTCTACGAACAAAAATCATTGCTTTGTTCCTTAAACTTTTTTTCCATACATGTCCAAATCAAAGTTATACTGCAGAATAGTACAAGAAAGGTATAAAGTAGTTCATGTAGCTCAAATAGGATTGTCAAAATCTAAGTTGCTCGGACACAGGTGCGTGCGTCTGACACGGGTGCGGATCTAGAGGTCAGGTCCTTCGAGATGTAAATTCTTAGATTTGGAGATACGGATACGGGTGCCGGGATCCGGTATAGATCCCACACCCACACCCATACTAGTGTCGTGTCGACACGGGTGCGGCACCTAAACTGCCGTGTCGGAGCAACTTAGGTCAAAATGGTTTCATCATTCACATTGATTTATGTAAACAAGTAAAGGAAACTTAAGTTTATTAGTAACCATTAAGTGCTAGAATGCACAACAAAATAGACAACCAAGATTCTATTAATCATGAACAACTATAATAGATTGTAGTGAGCTGAATATTATGAAAGATGCGAAATTGTGTACGAATTCATACTATGAATAATATTGAACTGATAAGAACAAATACTACGCTTGATCTTGGCCAGGAAGCAAAGAAAGGTATCTTTCCTATGCTAGTGGTAGGTAGCAGGTACTAGTGAATTGCCAAAGTGCGGTCAAATTAACATGAACATCATTGTTATTAAAAAAAAAAAAATTCTAATATTAACCTTGAGATATTTACAGTCTTCTATCAACACATTCCTCCTAAAGCGTAATGCAATGCTTAGGCAAAAGCTTCTTTTAAACGGCTTTAATTGAATAACAAATGAACACGCGATTAACCTTTGCAAACATCATGCTGTAGGAGGAGCTTAAATGTTGTTTAATTCAATTTATATCAATATATGTGGAAATTCAATAGTTCAAATATTGTCCGTCTATCGCAAATTCCACGGCTTTAAGAGTGTGTTTCATATGATGGAATTCATTTATAGTAACATAAGCAAACTAAAAGTATTTTTATGAAACTTGAGTACTAAAGGTAATTAATAGTAATGTCGAAATTTTAGTTAGGACAAGTAATATGAAGTTAAATAGTTCAAATAGTTGTAACAAAAATAGTTTCAATCTATAACTACAGAGGGAAGTCATTTTCCCTAATATAACATACTATCCATGTAATCAAACATAAAAGAATGAATTTCTTGTGAAAAATATTTTCCTAAATAATGACCTTATCAACACGTGACTTATATCGTACAAAACACACCCTAAATGTACAAGAAAATGTTTCATGTAATGGGCAAAGAAAGTGATTAATGTATACTTACAATAATTTCAGCAACAAAAGGAGGTTGCCTTGTGATTTTAAGGGCAAACATGACAAGACGGGTGATCAAGATAGCTAAAGAAATCTGAACGAAGAAAAGAGGAATAATTGGTGTCAAAGGATCAGGTCCTTCCCAAACACCATTTAACCTGTAAATGGTTTGTGCATAACACAGAATCTTTTCATTTAATTTTTCAGTATCAATAGGTGGTTCTAAATCTGCCATTTCTTGATTTCCAGAGATTGATGTTTCGAAAAGAAAAAAAAAAGATTTTTACCACCTTAATCACCAAAATTTTGCAATCAGTATTTGCACATTATTATGAGAAAAAAATGTTTTTCTCTTTTCTTCTTGTTTTCCTTGAGTTTTTTCTTGAACCCCTTTTTCTCTTGTCATGTGCCAGGGCAGGGAACAACCCTGGCTACAACCCTGCCTTGAGATTCAGCCACCAAAATTTATGGAGGTTTGTATTAACATGAGGAAAATGAAAAGAAGAAGAAATAAGAAATAAAATATGAACTGATAAATGTGAAAAATAGTAAAATGTAATCTCTACCAACAAAGCTTTGTTTCAAACTGAATGGTTTTCCGCTCAATTTGGAAGCTTAAAACCCTTTTTTTCTTCTTCTTTTGAGGTTGTTATTTGACATGCAGATGAATAAATATGACTGACACGAGTCCAACCGTGTCCTATTTATATATATGGATTTGTTTTTGTCCTTCACTAAAACTAGTCTTAACGAGATAATTCTATCATTAACTATTTTAATTCGACTAATTTATGTTTAGGTCTTCATTCTATGATGGTGCTGACCCCTATTTCTATTTTTATGTATTTAACAAAATATCATAACAAAATAACTCATGTTACCACCACCGTTTTCCTCGTCTCTTTAACTCCCGTTTGGACATAATGTTTTTTTTACTTTTAAAAAAAATAAATTAAAGTATTATTTGTTCATAGAATTTGATCTACTTTTTTAAAAAAAAAAATAAGAAAAATTTTCAAGTTCCAAAAACTGATTCTGGTTAGTCTCTGGGTGAATTTTTTTTCTTCCACTAACACATTTCAAAAATATTTCAAGCAAAATGCATGTCTAAACACAATTTCGACTTTCAAACTATTTTTTAACACAACTTAATTTTTATTTATTTATTTTATGTTTCAATCAAATCTATATCCAAATGCCTACTTAGTTTCTTGTAAACACACAATATCAAACACCTCTAATTTTAAAGATATATACGTAATTGGATTGAACTATCAACCAGCATACATTTGGATTATCTACTGAATTCGAATCTCTTAAGCTTCTTTACCCCCTCCGTTCACTAAGATGCAAAAAAAAACCTTTTCTATTAAGCACATCATTAGAGTATCGATAAGATAAGATTAACTTCTTTATCCAACACATCGAAGCCAATTTACTTATACTTAGTCACCCTAAATGCTGGAATCTTTTACTCATTTAACACTATATCTGGTTTTCACGCTCTGCTAAAATTCTCCTTATTTGTTTAAGTTTGAAACTGTACGTCTATATTTTCACACAAGCAAATTATGTTAATTTTATTTACAAAAATATTTGAAATAGAATATTGTTCATCGTCTATCTTATAACACTAGGGTGACAATAAAAAGTAAAAAAGTCAGCACGAAATATTTTTAAATCTTCCATTTAAAATTTCAATCATTCTTCATTTAAACTTATGTCATTGTGGACACGATAAGGCGTAACATTAAAAGGAAGGGACGACTCGGAATAATTTATAACTTAAATTCATTAAAAGGAAAATAAAAGAAAAAGAAAAACTTGAAATTTTTTGGAGTTTTATTTTTCTTGTCCAAAGACGGTGTTGGATCATGTGATGACATAGATGGGGGAAGTGCACGGTTAGCCACTAGCAGTGTTTTAAAAAGCGCTCGCTTCATCGCTTTAAGCGAGAAGCGAGGCGAAGCGTGAAAGACAGCGCTTCAGCAAGGTGAAGCGACTCAGGTCAGTAAAAGCGACCGCTTCTCTGTAAAAAGCGAGAAGCAGGGAAAGCGAAGCGAAGAGAAGCATCCGCTTCTCTGTATTAAAATACCCAACCCTATTTTATTAAAAATAAGTTTTTTGGATTAAACACTAATCTTCAACAACAGCGACTAGTATTCTTCAACTTCCAACAGCAGCGACTTCTTCTTCATCTACTTCTGATTTCTGAAAGAATCTCAAATCATCAAGTAGGGTTATTCTTCTTCTTCTTCAACTTCAAGTTCAAGACTTCAAGACTTCAACAGGTATGTTCTGAACTTCTGATTTTCATTCTTCTTCTTCTTCTTCTTTTTCTTTCTAAACGTCCAAAAAGTAGCGAAATGCTGGCGAATTTTTTCCAGAATTTTACAGCCCAATTTTTTCAGTTATTAACAGAGAATTCCTATGATTTTTTATATCCTTTATTCTTAGTTCTGTGTTATGTAGTTGTTCTTTTAATGGCGCCAAAAGAAGATAGGAAAGATCCGGCTTGGGCTTACTCTGAAAGAGTTTGCGAGACCAACAAGATGGCAATTAGATGTCTTTTTTGTGACAAGATTTCAAATGGAGGAATCTATCGTCAAAAAGCGCATCTAATCGGTGGTGATCCAAATGTCGCATCTTGTCCTAAAGTTCCGTCGCATGTGAAGGAAGATTTGAAAGCATTCCTTCATAAAAAGAGAGAGTTAAAGACTCAACTGATTCATGAACTAGAACTGTATAATCTTGATGACGATGATGAAACAGAAGAAGGTGACGATGCTTCGTCGCTTCCACCAAAATCACAAAAGCGGGGAAGGATGCAACCAATGTCTTCTAGTTGTGGATCTACTGGCAAGACCAAATGTCCTATGGATTGTTACTTCTCGCAAAAATCTGGAGATAAGGAAGGAAAAAGTGGTAATCCTCAAATTGATGCCAAAACGATTTTGAGGGATCGTGCAATTACAATGTTTGCGCGGTGGATGTATGATGCAGGTCNACGGTGGATGTATGATGCAGGTCTTCCTTTTAATTGTGTTAATTATACTGATATTTTTTCTGCTTTTATTGAGGCCGTAGGCCAATATAGTCCAGGAATGAAGCCTCCAACATATCATGAAGTTAGAGAGCCATATCTAAAAAAAGAGGTGGCAGAGGTGAACAAAATCGTGGAAGAGCACAAAGTAGAATGGAACAAGTTTGGTTGTTCCATT